CGACCTACAGACTTTTCGACCTGCAGCCACCGTTCCAATACAGATTAATTCCGTAAGTAGAGGGCCCACTGTACATTATGTTTGGCTTTTTAAATTTTTTGCTGTATTGCTTGTTGTGTAGCCCATTACCTTTCTGTTGTCTTTGTTTCTTTTTTCGAAAAAAATAGAATTGATAAAAGAATGACATAAAATGTGAAGAATTTATGCCAAAATACTTCTAAAAATGTGAGCTATAAGCCAGAGTGGACAACTACAAGTCCTACATATGTTTTTGGAGTGCAGCTCTTATAATCCCTCACTCTTGGATAACTATTGGAAACTGTAGGTAATCTCCACAGTTCTCCATTGTAATAAAGTTAACTAAAAAGGTCACTTCATGCACCACTGAAGTAAATATGTTACAATTTGTTCATGTCCTGTTACCAGAAAAAGTAGATGAGATTAATCTTTACAAACAACTACTTCACATACAATTAATTCTAAACTTTGACTGCTTTCTACACTTTGACTATCTTATGCATTATGGGCCTATTTAAACAAGGGTGATCCATGTGGAAATGGTACTCTTGTTGGATCTAGCCATCTCCGTTTAACAGGGCAATCTATGCGTGAATTCCCTGTCTGGATCTCTGCATCAACAGAGACAGAGGAACAGCACTATAATTTAAGCCAGCAGTACTCACTGTGAAAACTATACAAGGAGTGCCATGTGTAATTATTGTACATCCTTCTTTGCATTGTTTAATGGTGTGTCTATGTGCTGGTAGGTGCTGATCTGTGAAAATGGGAATGGGAGAACTACAACAATTGGAACCAGTTCTCAGGAACAATACAGTTCACAGCTTCAGATGTGTGTTAGGGAACAAAACAGCTTCTTCTGCAGTGATGACTGATGTTCAGCATCAATGCAGGCAGATCTACTTCAATGAGGAATGTATACTAAAATCAACAAGAGTCTCATTTCATGGCAAAACTTGCTTTCGCTCTGCAAAGTTGCTTTTCAGAGTCTGCTGAGTCCCATGCTTGTGGTAGACATATTGCTTCTGATCTGAACAGCATTATGTCTGCCATCACTGGAACACACAGAGAGAGAAAGGAGAGGAAAATGTATTCAGGTGGCAGTGGACAAAGGTATCTCCAAGCAGGAGCTGATAGCCAAGCACTGAATTTCCTTTTGAAGCATCAATTGTTCTCTTTTCCCAACAACAAAAAGAAGCCAAGGAAGACTGAGAGAAAGGAAATCGCCCCTTTAAGAAATACCACCTGCTGGAGGAGCAGATCACATTTCAGGTGTTGGTGCTGGGATGCTGCATAGAGTCTACTCTAGATATTAGCAGTTGGTTTTTTTTTTTAATGGGAGGGGCAAGATGATGGCAAAAGTATTTTGATGTACTAGGGATGCCAGGAAACTGAGGAGAGTTAGGTCCTCTGTCCCAGACATATTTTTTATCTTATATATTGTGTAAGATGGGGCAGGGGTGGGATAGCAGAATTACTACCGGCCAAAAAAAGAATTAAAAGCTTAGAAATACAGTACAGTAGAAAGATCTGAAAACATGAAGTTCCCCAAAAAAGAAAAACAGTCCAAAAGTACTGAAGGATTGATTTTGGGAATGTGTGGACCTCCAGATGTCACTGGTCTAAAAGTCGTATCACCCAAGCCAGTGTAGCTTAAATGTACTGGGAATCACAATCCAACAACACATGGAGACACATTCGCCATTCCCACCTAAAGACCAAAAGGAGCCTCCACCTCCCTCACTGTGGCCAAAACTACACTCTGCAGAAAAATTGGATTGAATCCTGTCATGCCCAACCCAGTTCTTTTCTGCTCCAGTTTATTTTCTTTTGATGGATATCCCACCATTTCAGGAGGTATAGGACCACCTCTTTCCCAATTGTTTGCCCATCCCTTCCCTGCTCCATTTGCCGCTTCCCTGCTTCTCTTTTCTTTCAACCACCATTGTGTCTTTAATTTTTTTTCCTTTGTGCCTCCATGTGTAGATTTGGAGTATCGATTCCTTTTTTAAATCTGCATTTAAAAGCACACATCTAAAAATGTGCATAAACACGTAATCCCTCTTGGGTGTGTGCGAAATATGACCAGTATTTTGACCTATACTTTTTTTTTTATTTAAAGGTGCAATAACAGGAGCCAATGATAATGGATGGAACTTTGCTCAAATTTGAAAGTATACAATGGGGCAAATATAAAATCAATAAAATCTGCCATGCCAGAGTTGGACAAAATTTCCATTGGTGTACATTACAAAGACTACACCAAATATGAAACGTTAATTAAGGTAGTGCATCATTTCCATTATGTATTGGGAAACCAGTTGTAAAACCAGAATGATTTCTTCAGCACTACAGAGGCAATTTACAACTGTTGTTATTAGCTACGCACCTTTTGTCTTTGAGTGGAACAGGAAGTAACATGCTATAGAAATACATTCTGATCCAAAACCTCACAAGGGTTTCTATGAAAAGTATGGTGCTGCTACGTTTCCTCAAGGGACCCTTAGAATTGTGTTTCTGAATGCCAAACTCTTCTCTACTAGTGAGAATATATATGTTTGTATGCATTAGCTTCTGTGCTCAAACAAAGAAAACGTGGGTCCAGGGGAAAAAAATCAAAACTGAGGTAGTATATGAAACATTTAATAGTATACAGCAGTGGTTTCCAACTTTGAGTGACCTATGGATTCTTGGACTGCAGTTCCCAGAAGTCGTATAAAATATAAAATCAGACAAATATAAAATCTATAAAATCTGGCATGCCAGTGTTGGACAAGATTTCCATTGTTGTCCACTACAAAGACTACACCAAATATGAAATATTAATCAAGGTAGTGCATCATTTCTATGCATCCTGCTTGTTACTACTTAATTAAAGTAAGCAAGAAAAACAGAACCAATTTGTAATAAGATATTTTTATTTTTAAAAAACGTTTTAAGCAAGTTTAAAAAAGAAACAAACAGGAAGTTTTCATTCTAGGGAAAAAAAGGGACCCATATTAAAAAAATAAACTACAGAGACCTTTTTGCCTGTTTCTAACTAACACCCAATGAGCTTCTTTTATGGTTGTTGTGGGTTTTTCGGGCTCTTTGGCCGTGTTCTGACAGTTGTTCTCCCTAACGTTTCACCAGTCTCTGTGGCCGGCATCTTCAGAGGACAGCAGTTAGAACTCTGTCTTCTTTTATACTTGAAGGCATGAAATGAACATTTAACAATCTTTAAACATAATGTAACAAACTGGATGTGAATAATTATGTTCTATGAAGTATGGACTTTTAAAGATGAATTTTATTTTTCGTATTACAACCATTTCAGAACAATCCACTCAACATTCATGTATGAAAGAAAGTAAGAAACATAAGAATGTTTAGGCTGTTGCAAGTCATAAACAATTACAACCCAAAGTGCCTCTCCCTGAACAATCTTCAATATAGTAAAATAACAATGAAATTGCTGTGACAAATCTCCATAGTTAAAAATCGTGAACTACTGGTGTTGCTGTAATTCGAGGTAGATCAGTTGGAACTGTAACAGTGTAGTGACTGTTCAAGAGAAGGCTTGACACAAATGACAGAAAAGAAAAAAATACGAGCTTAACAGCAGCAGGAACCATCTGCCTGGAATGTTTCACGTGCACAAGACATCAAAATGAACTGCGTTTTGCACAAGAACAAAACCTACACTTGCTTTAGAGCCACCAACCATGAAACTCTTGGAAGTTTTCTTCTTTAAATTTATTTGCCTGCTTATAGCCAGAAGGTTTGGGAGCCATGGAATATACATTTTGGATCCTCAGAAAGGGAATTGTGGAAACAAAAAGTGCACCATGTGTCATTTCCCCTAACATTTTGCCTGTTTGTAACCTCTAGCTCAAGATAACTCAACACTAACTCAAATTCACCTCATGAGTAAAAGAGGTGAATTTGTGATTTGTCTGTAAAAACATATTTGATATATTTAACTGAGAACCTGGTTTATTCTATTTGTTAGATGCATCTATTTTGTACAACTGTTTTACGGTTATAACATGTTTGAACTTTGATATAACTGGGTATATCTAACTGCAAGAACACAGTAGCCTCAATGGTGGCATGTTTAATTTTGCTAAATTCAATTCTTGATAGTCTAATTTATCATTTAGGACTAACCACTTTGTTTCACAAAAGTAGTTTATCCATTTTAACCACAATACAAAGAATCCATCTGATATAGTTTGTTACAAATATAAGGCATCATAGCTTGGCACCAAATAGTATTAACTGCCAAGACAGTTAATCCCCCAAAATGTATTTTGCATTGGGGTTGAAGAGGGGCAGTGGAATGACTTTCAAAGCATTTGTGTGCGCAGGTGCAAATTATATTGAAGCTGGATTCTAATCCCTTATAACCCATTATTTCTTTCCACTGAAATGATGACCCAAATCAGTGCCCTCATGCTAAGAACTCCATGTACAGTCAAATATACATATGTACTTTGCATAAAGAGGCTTCCCCATATGCACAAATGAAACAGGGCTGCGTATAAGGACTTTTTGGATGGGGTTTGTACCATCAGTTCCTAGGCCTGCAAAGCATTGCTCAATGAGGGTACAGTGTGTATCTGTTCCTCAGAATGCAGTTAAGACTAATGGCAGCTATTCTGAATAAGGTGCGGTGCTCATTAAAGCATTAAATGAATACTTCTTTCAGTCTTAACTCAGTATCCATTAATACACTAATATTTATTCATCCCTCTTATGGAACGTAGTACATTAAAAAAGTCGTCAAGCAAGCAAAATTTGATTGTCAAATTAACTAGAAATAATCTTTCCTTATGGTTGTTGTGGGTTTTTCGGGCTTTTTGGCCGTGTTCTGAAGGCTGTTCTTCCTAACATTTCGCCAGTCTCTATGGCCGGCATCTTCACAGGACAGGTTCTGACTCCTATCCTCCGAAGATGCCGGCCACACAGACTGGCGAAACGTTAGGAAGAACAACCTTCAGAACATGGCCAAAGAGCCCGAAAAACCCACAACAACCATCAGATCCCGGCCGTGAAAGTCTTTGAGAATACAGTACAATCTTTCCTTATACCTGTGCTTTATACATTCGTATAATGCAAGTATACTTGCTTGCTGAAAAAAATAAATAAATCATGGGTTTTCTACCCTCACTAGCTTTTGTGTGCTGCTCATAGGCAGTGAAGAACACCACTATATAAAAGCTGAAAACAGTAGGAAATTGGATGTTGCAATATTAGTTTGATATTTTTTCTGTCACTGTCTGATATAGTGTACCATATCTGAGGAAAAAATATTTTCCCTCAGTTTATATTAACAGCAATATAGATATATATTTAAATCCAGTACCTGGAATTGCAGATCTTTCCTTACTACTGTAAACACCAGGCCCTCACTTTGAAAATCTCACAGTGTGTTTAAGACAAACAGTGCCACAATAGCATAAAAATGGAACTGAGAGAATTGTCTTGAGAAACCATTAGCTTTGAAGGAATGTCTAGACAACTGTGTCAACAAATGCAAATAATTTATGCTTTTCAGTTCCTTTTAAATAGATGGCCCCATGCTGAGTATACACAAACTCAGAAGGAAAAGACATGTCACAACCATACCAGTAGGGAGGGTTACGGAATCACACAGAAATTCAAGTTAATTTTGACTAGAAGTTCAGAAACCGCCTTCTTAACCATCAACCAGAAGAGAAATGTTCCTCGTTCCTTTTTGTTTAGGACCAACCATCTTATAAGCTTGTGAATGATTAGTACAATGCACTGAACGCAGCTTCTGTTTGGACTTCATTCACTTCAGTTGAGTTTGTATAAGAGAAACAGTTTGTGGATTGTGCAGGGCTGGAATGCCCAGTTTTTCACTGTCAGAATTCATTCACTCAGTTGAAAAAAAAATCACCTACAATTTGCGCAAAATCTTTTACAGTAACCAGCCATTTGATTTTGGAATCAATGCTTCTATAAAATATATTTAAGGCACTTCTGTAGGAATTTTAAATATATACTGTATGTATCTATAAAAATAAAGTAAGTGCTGAAGCAACATTCACATATGCCCATTTCTGAATTGTTTCTGTGTATGTACAAAACAGTACATATATACAGTTACTTGACTTCTTCCATTGTTATACTTTCACTGGCACTTTGGGTTGCTTTGTTAATTTCACCGCCTGAAAACAAGAAACAAAGCATTAGTTTGTTTCTATTCATAGAGGCATGACAAAATAATATAATATATATTCAAGGTCATTGTCATTAGATTTCCCAGAGTAAGAGATGTAAGTGATCTGGCCACATCGCAGGTGAGGATCTTGCCTAATTTCAAAGGTTTTCTAATCTTGCTACTTTCCTCCACCACCACCATGAAACAGCCCTCAAGAAAGCATTTATCTTTGTTCCTGGGTAGCAGGATTAGCAAGAGTCCAAGAATATTTTAGCTTTGCTCCAAAAGCCACATACAGTGGTGCCTCGCTTAATGATTACCTCGTTAAATGATGAATCCGCTTTACGATGAGGTTTTTGCGATTGCAACAGCGATCAAAAGCAATGTTTTGATAGGGAAATTTCGCCTGACAATGATCGGTTCCCTGCTTCAGGAACCGATTTTTTGCTGGACGATGATTCTAAAACAGCTGATCGGCGGCTCTAAAATGGCTGCCCACTGTGCAAAATAGCTCCCCACTGTGCTTTAGGACAGATTCCTTGCTTTATAGGCACCGAAAATGGCCGCCCCTATGGAGGATCTTTGCTGGACGCTGAGGTATTTAACCCATTGGAACGTATTGAACTGGTTTTCAATGCATTTCAATGGGCTTTTTCGTTTCGCTTGACAAGGATTTCGCTTAATAGCGATTTCAACGGAATGAATTATCCTCGTCAAGCGAGGCACCACTATAATTGTGATTATATCTATTTGGGGAGGACAATAAAAACCTGCATCGCAAAATTCTAATTAAATTATTTTTTAGAAGTAGCCAAGGTAGAAACTGCAGCACAGTGGATACACTGGAAGACCCTGGTGGTCCTGTAAATATTTATTTCTTTAAATGATTTCATCCCATCTTTCTCCCCTGGTAGGACCTAAGATTGTGTAAAGATAGGATGGTTGGATAAGATACAGAATTCATCACATCTCAATCTGATCTGCAATATATATTTCATCTTCCCATTCCTTCATCATACTCTGAGAGATGACACTGTCTTATTTTTGTACCACTAACCAACCATTGGGCTCCTTTTTCATTCCTATACAGTAAATTCCTTTGGACAAGGAATTGGAATCACATATATCTGATACAGTATGGATGGGAAAGAGTGGTAATGTTTACATAGCATTTGAAGAAGCTTGCTAAATTACATTTCCCATTACAAATATTTCAGAGTGGCATGCCTGATGTCCACGGTAGGCTTCTGCAGATATTTAGATTTGAATGGATTAAGAGGTCACATGTTGCTATCATGATTAATGTAATTGAAAACTCCTAAAATCTGGGGAGTTAGAATCTAAATACAGAGATATGCACACCTCCAGTACCTATAAAAGGATAAGTTAGACGGGAGCACTTGATATTGATGGTACAGTAAAAACACTTGCTACGACAGCAGTAGACAGAGAAAGCTTCCTTGTGAAAAGTTTAAAAATTAGAATTGTAATTTTGTTTAAACTTGAGTAGACACTTTGCTTGAAGTCCCTTCTTGGTTGATTGCTAATGGAATTTAGCATCAGTAACTCTGATATTAACAGACATCCTCATAACAAAACACCTTTGATTGGTTGGATTTATAGTGGAAATATTTTTTTAGTTGCTTGTTCTTCAAACAAAGCAACAAACGAACTGTAATCATGCAAATTATGTATACAAATAAGGAAATTGGTTATTGCCTTCAGGTTTCTGGCATTTCCAAGGCAATCCTTGATGTTAATGAAAACTGGTTGGTAACTGCCTCTAGATTTGGAAGCAAAGTACTGTATAGGAATATAGCTTACCTTTTATTGCCCATTGTGTATTTCAGAAATTTGGTAAACTACATGCTTCAACAAATTTAAATACAAAACAAAGAAGACAAAACAACAGATAATATTGCCATTGTAAAAATGGCGAAGTGTCTTTGTTATATCTGAGCACTGGGATTAATTGTACTCGAAATGAGGAACAAAGATAAAGATTTCTGATACTGTTTGGAAAAATATAATCATTTCTCTCTTTCATGGTGGGTTCTGCTGCATTACTTCCAAGTAGGAACTACCTCTTGTCAAGGAACCTCTAAATATTTAAATTTGATTTCATGAAGAGATCACATGTTGGTATCATAATTAAGCAAGGTTGTCACCAGAGCGAAGTACAGTGACTGGATAACAGTTTTCCACCATGAGAGAAATGCCAAAAGGAAGCCAAGGTGTTGATAGAAAACAAACATCAAGGTGAAGATGACATGTTTACTTTCAAAGCAGGAGACCATTATCCAGGCACAACATCAAAATCTATTGTAATTATTGCTATGGAACAAAAAAAGACAATCTTTCCGATTTACAAAAATAATAATATTGTCATATAATTAGAATAATATTCTTGGGGAAATAATCTAGAGGACCAGAAGAAGAATGTATGCATGGCAAAATGACAGATGATCAAAATAAACCTGCCAGATAGTGTAGACTGATTAAAGTCAAATAAACCTGATTGGAGGGCAATCTTGGGTGAAACTAGGGAAGAGAGGGAGATCCCCTGCTGGTTTGGGGAGGGGGGAATCAAACAGTCCACATCAGGGCTTGTGAGACATTCCTGGGCATACATGCCTGGGTGAGAGAAAAGATAGGAGGAGGGAATATGGGATGTGGAAGGCTCTTGTTGGGAAGATGCTTTGACTAACAGTGGTTGTGTTGCAAAGTTTTGTCTTCGGGAATATTTTCTGTGCTGTAAAACAAGCGACTGCATCTTGCAATTCTGATTTTTGCAAGTGACAGCGAATGACTGGCACGGATATATCTATTTGGAGAGGACAATAAAAACAAAATTCTAATTAAATTATTTTTTAGCCGCAACCAAACTAGAAACTGCAGCACAGTGGATACACTGGAAGACCCTGGTGGCCCTATAAGTATTTATTGCTTTAAATGATTTTGATCTCGCTTTTCTCCCCTGGTAGGGAGCCAAGATTGCGTAAAGACTGGATGCCCAGATAAGATATGGAAATCTGCTTTCAAAAAAACTCATACTCATAAGAGAGTAGGGAAATATCAATATGTTTGTAGAAATACAACATCTCTTGGTTTTGCCTCCCAGTAAGACTCTGTCTTCATATGGCCTTTGTGATGACCAGCTCAAATTGGAGGAAATGAATTTTGTAGATTTGTGAAGCTTTCTTATCCTGACAGATAAGGATCCTTATTAACTCAATCCTCTCAAATGAGTTTAGTTTGTTGTACTGAAATGAGAGCTCCTGAGTCCAGCTTTGCCCTCCATTGTCTAGGAAATCTAAGATGAAAAAAACCACACACTTCTTTCTGCAAATAGGCTCATCAGAAGCAGGACTGGAAGCATGCATGTTATACTGGACTTAGTTTATGTAATCATGCTTAGCTTACATTATGTAGAATAACAGTGAGGAAATGTGGCATGATCTGGCCACACTAAGCATCACTAGGCATATTTGTATTTATTTTTGTATGTATGTATGTATGTATGTATGTATTTATTTATTTAATTTATATGCCGCCCACTCTACCCAGAGGTCTCTGGGCGGCTTGCAATAATGAAAATTCAATACAATAAAAATAAAATGATTAAAATACAATTAAAATACAATTAAAATTGCCATCATCAGGACCCACAGTTGATGTTATTTCAATTAAAAGCCTTCTGGAACAGGAAGGTTTTGACCTGGGGCCGAAATGTCACCAACGTCGGCGCCAGATGAATTTCAGTGGGGGGGGCATTCCATAGTCTGGGGGCAGCTGCCGAGAAGGCCCTTTGTCTACAAGCTGTCCCTCTTACCTCATTGTAGGCCCTATTAATTCATGTGCTCCTTCAATATTTAGGACACTGAGCCGAGTCTCATTTTCTATCCTGCTGATTGGTAAGATCACAGAATTATAATAACAATATAGTAATCTTAGAATTGCAGAGCTGGAAGGGACCCTGTGGATCATTGAGTTCAGAGCCTGTCAAAGAGGCACAGTGGGGAAATGAACTCCCAACCTCTGGCCCCACAGCCAGAGGCCCAAGCCACTGAGCTATCCAGCGATGGTGTAATCCATTCTGGTGCCATTCAGACAATTTAGTCCACAGTTCCCTAACTGCTGGCTGAGGGCCAGTAAGAAGTGTAGTTCAAGACTCCAGTTTGGGAGGTCTCACATTGAGGAAAGGCTACTGTATTCTAGAACACCAGAACAAGTAATATAGTTATGAAGAGTTCTCTTGCATCATGTTCTGTTTTTTCAAAGATTGCCAATATTTCTATTTTAGTGGTCAACCGGAATTCTAAAAAATAAAGTTTTAACTCAATAATGAATGATAGTTAGGTTCATGATTTCTTACCTTTTGTCTAGATATCATCCAAGATTTTATTGTTGGTACCAACACACTGCCTAGGAGGATCTGAGCCGGATGATAGATAAGTAAAGGGACAGAAATTAAAGACAGGTGTTCATAACCTTCAAATACTATCTTCAGCATTGGTATTCCTGTGGGCGGAAAAACAGATAAGTTTAAGCATGC